TCTCTCAAGTGGAAAGCGAGGAAGAAGGTGTAGGTTTGGCGTGGCCTGGGGGAAGGGGAGACTCACACAGACCAGCAGCCACGGGGTTCCCGCCGTGGAGGCCAGTGGCATTGTCTGCCCCCGCTCCCCCCCCCGGCCCGGCCTCCCCAGAGCAAGAAGAGTAGTTGTGGGTGTTGTTGTTTGCCTTTCCTATGCAGCCCCCACCTGCCTGGTGAGCTGTCCTTTTGCACCCACCGGGGAGCAGTGTACCTGTGGAATGTCGAGGCAAGGTGAGCACTAGGGGGACCGGGGGGGGCGGGGATGGGGCTCAGGTTGTTCCCGTTTGAGGTTGGGGCTGCAGGGCTTGGAAGGAGGCACCTGTGGATGCTTGGTGGTCTCCTTGGGAGAAAACAGCAGCTCTGGGAGAAGCCTGCTCGGATTCCAGAGCGCTTTCGTCTTCCCCTGGGCTCGGTGGAGGAGGAGGAGGCCGAGCTAAGTGGAGGCTGAGACGGGCGGCCGAGGTTCTCTTGGGCTGCTGAGGAAGCTGACCCTCTCCCCGGAAAGCCTCCCTGGAGGCCTTTCCTTCTGAGACCCAGGCCGCAAAAGCAGAGGGGACCACGAGGCTGGAGCGTCTCCCGCCGAACGTCCTCCCCGAAACTCTTCCGTTCCAAGCCTCTGCCAGGATGGCCTTCTCTGGGCATCATCCAGAGCCGAGCGCGTTTCCCCTTCTGCCGGCCCTCTTCTCTTCTGAGAGCGCCACGGCCTTGGGCAGCTGGTCTCTCTCATCTCCTCATGCTCTCCGAATCCAGCCAGGATCCTGGGCGGATCGTGAGATCGTGGCCAGGCCTTGGGTTGCAGCCGCCTTGCCCGTCCGGTGGGAGGCGCGCTCCCTGCCATGCCTGTGCGTTGGGGGGGGGAGCTGCCTGCCAGCCTGAGGCAGAGCCACAGGAAAGGGTCTGAGGGACCCAGGATTGGGGCGGGGGGGGCTTGCCTTGGGGCTCACCTGGACTGTCTGTCTGGCTAGGCCTCGACTCGTGCACCAGGACCGGGAGACCGCCTTCTTCCGTGACCCCTCGCCTTGGCGCTGGAGTGAGTTTACCGCCCACCCCTGTGTGCTCACTTTTGCCGATCGCACGGGTCTGATGAGTGTTGACCGGAGGGTGAGTCCGTTGCCAGGGAAAGGGGACGTTGCAGGGAGGGGAGCGAAGGAACCATTGCTGTCTGGGTAGCTCTTGGCTTGCATGTTTAGTGGGTGGCTCAGCCTGTCTGGATCATGGCCATTCCAGGGGAGGTTTGGAATACTGGCCAAGAGGAAAGCCTGGGAGGCACAAGGGCAGGAGGAGGGGAGGGTGGTGGTGGGGGAGATGTCATCTGTCGTCCCCCACCCCCACCCCCACCCTGGTGCTCAGCATCTCTTGATGGTTCCAGGCCCCCTCCGGCTGCCATGTCGAGCTCTTCAAGGTGGGAGCTGAAGCAGAGTGCCAGCGTGGGGAGCGCCTGGTCTTCACCAAGTACTTGGGCCAGGCTCAGCCCTACCACCAGCTGGTGGCCACCCAGGTAAGGGACAGGGTCTCCCTCCCTCCCTTCCTCCCTCTCTCTTGGTGGTGGTGGTGGTGGTGGGGAATTCTTGTGCCCAGAGCGCCTCCTTCCTCCTCTCAGCCGTCAGGAGAGGCCTTCTTGCCAAGGTGCCCAACCCTACACTCTGCTCCTGCCCTGCCACCTCCCTGGAGATCCCACCACCCTGGCCCAGCCCAGCCCAGCCCCCTCCGATGCCCCAGGACAACTTTCACTCTGGAATCCATGGCAGATTATCCTTCTCCCCTCCATTTTATAGTTGGGGAGTGAGAGAGGTGGTTTTTTGGGGGGCACACATAACTCAGCTTTCAGGGACCCCCTTTCTAGACCACGCACTGGCCGTTTGCTGCCTGGCCTCCCACTGGACTTCAGCATGGGTCGGGGGGGGGAAATGCCTGGGGCCTGTAGTACTCCTCACCTGGGGGGGTGGGGGTGGCACGCTCTGATGGCTCTTTGTGCCCCAGTTCTCGGTGTACGTGCTGGACGAGCGCTTTCCGCTGGTGCCTCTTCTCCGTTGGGAACACATGATGAGCGGTCCCCCCCTCTACGTCCACCTCACGCCAGCCGGCGCTCCGTCACGTCCCCACAAGATGCTCTTGGGCACCCACCACTCCCAGGAGCTGCTGCTACTGCAGTACATGGGTACGTGGGGGTGGGCACTGGGGGCCGAGGGTGGGCATCGGGCCGTGGGCCCCGCCCTGCAGCTGCCTCAACTGGCGGGGCAAGTCATGGTGGGCTTTGCTGTCTTCGGAGAAGACCCCGTGGGGGGGGGAGCCATGGCCGGCTGGTGTGGTAACAGCCCTCTTTCTGCAGGCGGCCTCAGCACCGCGTGCCAACTCCTGGGCCCTCCACAGAAGGTGTCGTCCATCCAGGAATGCCTGCCCCACTTCCCCATGCAAGTCCCTGTCCAGGAGAATGCCCTGCGCCAACGCCTCACAGCACCCATGGCTGGTACGTGGCAGGGAGAGGGGAGTGGAGCCAAGCAGAGTCCCCCCCCCCCGCTCTTAGAGAAGAAGGGGGCAAGGCGGCAGGACGCTCTGGACGAGAACAGGTGGTCCTTCCACGTCCACTCTGCTCGGAATCAGGGGGCAGGCATTACTTGTGGGTCTGGACTGGGAGCCCAAGAGAGGCAGAGGGTAAAGCAGAAGCCTGGAGGCGGGCAGGGGTGGTGGAGCGGGACCCTTTCTTTCCCTGTTCCCTTACTCTCCATCCCAGACTTGTCGGCGGCTGCCTCTCTGCTCCAAACGGTGTCTTGCGGGGTCTCTCTCTCTCTCTCTCTTCCCTGCAGCCCTGCCTTCCATGAGCACGTTCTATGGCGCGCTCACTGCCTGTTGGTGCCTGTGTCCATGGGGGAGGGGGGGGTTACTCCTCTCAGCCCCCACCCATTTTCTGCCACCCCCCTAGGAAGCGGTCCTTCTCGGAGGCGAGGGCCTTTTGTGCGCTGTTTGCTGAGGCAGCCACAGGCGACCCCCGGATCCAGGGTGGCCTGTCTCTGCTGGTGTGCTTCGCTCAGGGGACGGGGCAGAGGGGGGGTCCTTGGGGTGCCCTTTTGCTCCCCATCTTGCCTGTGTGCTTTGGGCTGAGCTCTCCTGCCAGCCAGACTAGAAACCGCTCACCTGGTTTCACGTTTATCCGTGTGAGCCCTGCTGCGCCCCCCCTCTTATTTTGAGAGAGAGGGAGACCCTTCCCTGTCGCATTTCTGAGTCGGTTGACTCAGCCCCCTTTAGAAGGTATTTATAGAGGAGCAACTGACACCTGCAGCAACCT